TATATATATATATATATATATATATATATATATATATATGGACCATGTATTTAATTTGTGGGCCTGTGTCTGGAAAACTAGAAATAACTGGCTTTTGACTTTTAGTACTGTATTGCAGTCATGACAATCTAATGATAACATCCTGGACATGTTTTGTGAGATTCTCCCATCTGTGGTCCACCTTTATCCTCCTAGCTTTAATTTCTTTCCTTCTTTTAGCGGCGTGTCCAGTGCTGTGCAGCGGCAATGGGCAGTACAACAGCGGGCGCTGTCAGTGCTACAGTGGATGGAAAGGGATTGAATGCGACGTGCCCAGTGGTCAGTGTGTGGACGCCCAGTGTGGGGGTCGTGGCCTGTGTGTTACAGGCTCCTGCATATGTAACCCTGGCTTCAAAGGTGACAACTGTGACCAAGGTAACTGGACGGATTTCAGCAGCTATGCAAAGAAAACACAACACATGTTGCTCATTGTAGTGGAGGAGAGCACTTTTTAAACACCACCGAGCAGCTAATTACATGGATGAGTGTACTGACTTAAAGACTGGTTTTTGTTGTGATAAATTAGCCACACCATTTAGCAGCATCCACTGACTGAAATGGATTCCACATATGGGATTGAGATAATGCAGACAGCCAAGAAAATACCCCTTACATGCACACAAAATATTTCCTGACTCTAGATTTTTTTTACTCCTGTTCTCTCTGGGTAAAACCAATTGAGTCTATTGAGCCACATTCAATAGGCTTGGGAATGAACTCTTTAGATGTCTATGTTCGGGTCACTTGAACAATGTTATAATTGTCATTGAATTGAATGAGTAACTCACCTTGAGGTCAAGAAGAGTGGCACCTAGTGAGATTGCTAGCAATAGATTGTTTAAAATACATTTGTTTTATGCTACATTTTTTATGAAGTTGCACAAAACAATAAACACCTTTTGATAAAAATGCTTGACTTTAGAATTAACCAAATTACAATTGATAATGTAGCTGTAGTGATCACATTAAGTTGATTGCCAATTAAAACCTACAAAGAGATCTGAGAGTTGCCCTTTGTTACCCTTTTGATATATGTTTTTCAAAACAGCTTGAAGCTTTTATATGAACTGTTGACTTTTGTCAGAGATTAAAGAGATAGTTCTAAAAATTCTTTGAAATATCTTGTTTTGCATTCAAATAGATTTGAAATGACATTGAGCAAATGATGACCAAATTTTCAGACTTTAGCAACAGCGTTTCCAATTTGACACCTTCAGTGACACACAGACTAGATAGCTGTCAAATTCCCCAAAACTGCAACCTCAAGAAGTAGCGCAGAATTAAATTAGTACCTCTGTCCCAATCTCAACAAGAACTGTACATCATGCTTCCTTCTGCAGTAATTTATGGCCAGTGCACAGAGCCTTGAGGCAAAAAAAAACAATTCATGGGATCAGAGAAGTCATCTTTAAACTCGTTTCTGATACCTGCATGGGTTTACGTTTTGGGAAAGCCAAATTATACCTTAAACCCACGTTGTCTGTTGCTGTAGAACATTATGATGGATTTGTCATGGTATGTGCTTCCTTCTCATGTGCATCATTTATTCCAGAGATTGCGCTGCATGATAATAGAACTGCATGACGTGAATATAAAAGCCATTTTACTAGATCAGACATATCCCATGGTGCAGACATTGTTCCCTCATGATGTTTCTATATTCCATGATGGTAATACCTCAAATTCAAGAGTGATTTCTTGAATAGCCGCAGGAAGCTGAAATAGCATATCTAAGCATCATTGAATCTTTATGCAGTAGGATGTTCTGGAGTGCAGTCTTGTAATTGTCAAAGAAATATACTTTTCTTTTAAAAAATGTTAAGGTGTGATAACATTATCAGAAGGAGTGTTTGAGAAAAAAAAAACTGTAAAGAAGGCATATGAATTGATGACACAGTGGCCTGAAAAGTGTTTGAACACCAAAGCCAAA